GCATACTCGACACCTTCGCAAACTCTGGGAAATTCCCAATATTCGCCATCTAACGAGAATGGAGACCAAGAAGGCGCTCGATACCCCTTTGAGCGCTGAAGCCTGCGTGCTCCCCTTACTTGCCAGGTCATGGAATCAAGAATGTGATCCTCCCAAAATCCAGCTAGGTACTTGCCGGCTCCTCGAGACTGCCACAGCTTTGCCAATCCCGAGAGCGCTGGTAGTAAGTCGAAGTCGTATGTTAGAGCCCTTGTTGAGTATTGTTGCAACAACTCCAGGCAGAGTTCGTGGAAATTGATTTGATTTCCACCCAGGCTTAGGCAGAGGGGTATGAATTGCGATTTCCTCATAATGCGCGACGACGGCTCAGATGTGGGGGCATGGTCTACCTCCATGCATTCACATTTCAAGTCTTCGACACATTCCCATAGAATCTCCCCGTTAGTGAAGTGGACAATTCGTTTGGCCAACAGGTATTCTTGTAGAGCCCATGCTCGACTGTTGAGATTTGCGCTTCTGATGGGATGCTCATGACGGTCTCGAAAACAACCATCTAATTCCCTTTTGAAAATGTGCGAAATGCTGCCATCTGGGTTCCTAATATGCCCAATCTCAGCGCCAATACTGAGTGAGCTCCTCGGCGAACGGCCCTTCACAATGTCAAGGAATCCCTCGGCGGTATTGCTAGCGTTGGGGGCGGCAATCACTAGAAAAGCATCTCTGTAATAAGCGGCCATTTTTGAAGACTCCGCTTGCCAGTCTGAAGGCTGATCTTGCAGGATGCACAAAGAATCAATCAATAAGTATCGTATGTCGATGCCCCGGGCTACAACTATGGCGTCTTGGAAAGTTCTGGGTAAGTTGGCGAAATCGATGGCCTTCTCAAGTTTCGAGAGATTTGATGCCATGGTCTTTGGCGGATGTGGCTGTCCCCAGCAGTAGCTGAGGGCCAAGTATTCGCCGGTGTCCTCTTCTGAGGAGACATGAAGAAACAAGTGAGGCTCAAGCTCGCTGCCTACAAAAAGGACACGACTCGGAAGTTTTGCACCCTTCGTCATACAGCCTTCATGTATCTTATTGCAGTGTATGATCCAGGGGGTGAGTATTTGCTGAAACTCTTCACGCCGTGCGATTGTGGGGTTCCGCGCAGATTTAATGTAGTCCCACGACGGTTTTGACGACCCTACCACGACGTACAGTTGGACGTCTCCCAGAGACCTAGTGGTGAGGCCGTGATCATCAAATAATCCAACCCGGAAAATGCCAGGGTGATCGGCACGACAATAGACTCCGACTTTATCGATTCCGTGTGCCCATTTTTTGAACCCATAACAGCTGCGATATATGATCATACATCTCGGGCAACCGCAATTGGCGTCTTTTTCGATTCTATCCAAGTCGAGATGCCTGCGGAAACCGTGGAGGCCATCGGCATAGCGGCAGATGCCTCGACATTCGGGTAGAGTTGTAGGCCACGTTATTTGGAAACAATTACGCTCGTGATCTTTTGCGTCCAATGTCGTGATGAATTCAGGTATCTATGGTAAAAGAAGAGAAAACTCAAAAATGGGATGTCGGAGAGTGAAATATGGCTAGTCGGGTACTTCAACGGTATTTTTCCAGGGAAGGAGAATTTAGCGGAGGAAAGCCCTACCATATGCCGAATTACGCGAGGTGATTTCCGCCATGGTGTGATTGATGTGCATTCGGGCACGAGTTGATCAGGCAGCAAGTGGAGTGACCTCTAATTGGCCCAAGTCCCTAGCACACACAGCACCGTCATCTTGCCACGGCAATGCTGCCTTATAGATAGAGATGCTGAAAGGTTGCCTAATCACTAGTCCCAAGAAATATCCATCATGAAAGTTACGGTGAACAGACTGTGGGTTAGCTATCGCGCTAGCGAGTGGACGCGGGAGTGGCACCGGAGGCATGCATGCTCTGCTGGCTGCCGAGGACCATGTCATGTTGCGTGTTTTGAATCTTGATGCGTGATTTGAAGCTAATTCACAACATTCATATCCTCAACGTACCAAGAGCAGCACATACAAATGCAACCCAAGCCCCCAAATCCACCGTCAACATCCTTCTCCAGTTCACAATCAACCATTTATCCAGTGCCCCATTCAAATCCTCCCCCTCTTTTCCTTCCACAAGCGTTTGCACATGCGGCGCGATGAACGGGACATAAGCCAAGTGCCCCAGTGACAGACCCGCGCCCGCGACGTACCACCAAAAGGTGCCCTTGGTTTGAAGTACGGTCTGGTTTACCCGTAAGTTGGCAAGAGCCGTCCCAGCGGAGATAGCGAGGAAGCTGAGCACGATTGGGAGCCCGCGGGAGAAGAATTCTTTGTAGTAGGGGTTTATCAGAGGCTTTGAGTGGGTGCGGACTGTGGGATGATTGAACAAGGATAAGAAGAAGTGTTGGTCGTGGGCGTAGAGAAGGGTGCAGGTTGAGGAGAGGAGGGGGGCGAGGAGAAGAGGGGAAGCGCCGGGGTGGAGAATGCGAGAAGCCATGATTGGTTCAGTGGCTGTTGCAGGTTGGTGTTGAAGTGGAAGAATTGAAAGTCAGGCTGCGTACGCTGATGGGTCCTGGTTGTTTTAAATGGTTGGTGATTCGGATCGGTGGCTGTGTTTACACTCCGTATGGGGGACGCCCGGATCCTTCGCGGTCCCGGGTCAGGTGGTTCCCCACTTGGTGGTCTGAAGACGGCTTATGTCCGGGCGGTAGCCGGGGATTCTCGGGGCCCAGTGTTCCGGGCTGAGTTCAGCGGTCGGGGATTTGGTCACAGACCGGATGAGACAAAACACTAGCAGGCTCCAGCACAGTTGGTTTTGAACTCCAGAAGGTTGGCGAATCTCAGTCAGAGAACACTGAGACTGAAGATACTTGCGTTTGTCCGCATGGGCATCGAATCAAAGCAAGACTGGACCAGCGTGTCTAGCAATAAAGATGAGGAACAGGATCGGCTCGATGTCCATTTGTCCACTTTGTGGCATCTCACAATCATGATTCATTGAGAAGTACAGGTGTTGGTTCCATCGCGGCCTCCAGCATCTGCTGGAGGCCGCTCGGTAACGTTGGTTGGTAGGGTCGCCAAAATGGCCTCTGAAAAGGAATGTGTATCAAGTATCCGAACAGCCACCTAACTCTAAGTCGTGTGATGAAATCAATCGAAAACCTATAAATGGTGGTTTTGGTTCGCCGTTTGAGTACTTCGTCCTCAGAGAAACCATGCCTCAATCGATTCTGGAACCCGCCGTCATGCAAAGCGAACTAGACCAAATATCTGCCCCCTGGAGAGACATGCCGGAAGACGAGGTAGCTGTTGCTCATCTCTGCGAGAATGCAAATTCTCTGAGCGTCAACCCCGACCCTCAAAACGCTGAGACAGAGACATTTGAGCGCTCAGGCGATATCATCCTTGAGTTTCTCCGTACGAACGTGCCGGAGTTCGTCAGGCTCAGCGCAGTTCGAAAGAAGGTAGCACCTTCCCGTTTTCTTCATTGTCGGGCATCGCGTCTGCTGACAATGTGCTCTTAGGGATGGGAAAATCCAGCCGGCGACACATACTTCCGCAAGCAACGGGAGGCTGCAGACCATGCCGACGAAAAGTTGTCAGCGGTCTTTTACAACATGATGAAAGGCATAGGGACAGAGCTGCACCGGAAGACCCAGGCGTTGAAGATCAAGGGGCCAGCACTGGGACAGAAGCGCATCTTGGATATGTGCATGGCGCCTGGAGGGTTCCTCGCGGTGGCTCTCGAGAAGAATCCAGATGCACACGCTCTTGGTTTTAGTCTCCCCGTCTCGCAGGGCGGGCACAAGCCTTTACTTCCACCCAGCACAAACGTGGACGTCAAGTTCATGGACATCACGATGTTGGCGCAGGATATGGGGGTCACAGACATTCCATCAGATCACCCTGACTCTGGCAACTTCATCTCGCAGCAGCTGGGCCCACAAGACAGGTTCCATCTCATCCTCTGTGACGGGCAGGTTCTTCGCCAGCACGGGGAGTTCAGGGCGCAGTACCGAGAAAAATGCGAAGCGCGGCGATTGACGGTCACCCAACTTGCCATTGGGCTAGAGCACCTTCAGCCTGGCGGCACAATGGTTGTTTTGCTGCACAAGGTTGAAGCATGGGATACCGTGCTTCTGTTGCGGGACTTCAGCAAATTCTCAACTGTCCGGCTTTTCAAGCCTTCGAGGAGCCACGTAAAGCGCTCATCATTTTACATGGTTGCTAGCAAAGTCCAGAGTCAGAGCGCGGCGGCTGCTGCGGCTGTTAAGGTGTGGAAAGAGGTCTGGAGGGTTTCTACATTTGATTTGAATGGGGAGATGAAGCACAACTGGCGGGAGGAGGAGCCGAGTGCGAAAGACGTGATTGATGAGTTTGGGGATCAACTCATCAGGCTAGGCAGAAATGTTTGGAAGACTCAGGCTGAGGCGCTGGAGAGGGCTACGTTCATCAAAGGATGACAATTCCCTTTTCGTGCTTGTTGCTAGTTCTTCGTTGTTTTATCTTTCTGCAGTATTTCCATGTGAAGGAATATCCCATCACGTAGTCGTTTTTGCGCTACCAAACATTTTCAGCATCGCACTCCCATCTTGGCATTGATTTGGACTTTGTTGGTGCATTATCCTGCCAAAACCCAATCTCAGACCTTTTTTCATTTTTGTACCATTCACTAATCTGTAGTATGCTCAGACTCAAAGGCATCTTCTCATGCCATTGGCTATCAGTAGACGCGGGAGGCCGACTGAACTTTGGGGGTCTTTGGGGCAACTGATTGGCTTCATGCATGCAGGCCCAAAGCAGCTCGCACATCATTTGACATACGACCCCTTTCATCACGGTTTCTCCTGTGACTGTCAGAAGACCAAGGTTTAAATGTCAAACTCTCCTCAATTCTCCAGATACTCCAGTTTCTCCTGACATGTCAAATTTCGACCTTTTTCGATGAATACCACTAGTGGTAACACAACCAAAGCCGAGATGCCAACAGAAGAATTTGACAGCGCTCGCATCTCTGCGACCGACTCCGAAGATGTGGAACATGGCACTCCTGGTGCTATCATCGTGCAGTACTTGACCCAACACTCGCCAGAGTTTGCTGAACTAAGCGAACTCCGCAAAATTGTACGTCGGCTACGTGAATCACGGTGGCGCTCCGTGTCTCGTTCTCTATGAATGGAACTGACCATCGGCGTCAACAGGGATGGCAAAATCCGGCCGGCGATCGCTTTTTTCAACAACAGCGTGCCAGAGCCACCAATCCCAAAACGAGTACCAAATTATCCTTCTACGACATGATGAAGCGGATTGGCACCGAGATGCAGCACACCACAGGCGCTCTGAAGATCAAGTTTCCAGCCTCGGACTTCCCACAAATACTTGACATGGGCATGGCGCCGGGCGGGTTTCTTGCGACCGCCATGAAGCTGAACAAGAATTCTGGTGCCAAAGCTATCGGGTTCAGTCTGCCAATTGCTGATGGCGGTTACCAAAGTCTTGTCCCGAAAAGCGAAGACATCGACGTAAGATACCTTGACGTGACGATGCTAGCGGCAGACCTCGGGTTCGAAAACATCCCGACAGGCCATCCAGAAGCCGACAAGTTCTTGCCACGTCAATTCGAGCCTGGTCAGAAGTTTGACCTTGTCATATGCAGCAGCTCAGTCGTCCGCGAGCACCAAGTGGACGACTATAGGAAAAGGACAGAGCCACGCCGGTTAACGACAAGCCAGCTCGCCTTAGGCCTCGAGCGGCTAAATTCTGGCGGCACAATGGTCGTGCTATTTCACAAGGTGGAAGCTTGGACAACGGTACTCCAACTGTACCGATTCAGCAAGTTTTGTAAGAAGGTGTTTCTGTTCAAACCGACAAAGGGACATACGAAGCGTTCGTCGTTTTACATGATAGCTACAGGCGTGCAGAGCCAGAACCCGGAGGCCGTTGTTGCAATTGAAAGGTGGAAGCAGATCTGGCGGGCTGCTACGCTCGATGTAGAAGGGACCGGCGCAATGTTACGGGAGTTGGACGAAGAGGAGCTGTCGCCGGAAGAAATATTACGAGATTTTGGAGGAGATCTTGTGCGATTGGGGAAACGCGCTTGGTCCATCCAGGCAGACGCTCTCAGGGATGCGCCTTTCATCACTGGTCACTGATAAAGACACCAATGGAACGAAACAAGAGGCGAGGCAGAGTGTAAAGTTCATTTATGTTATCAATTGACAGCATTGCTGCCTTGCCTTCTTCGCCTGCCAACGGAAGGAGTTTGGTTAATCTTTGCTCGGAGCTAATTATGTTGGTTCGGGTATGCAGTTTCACTACTTCAACATGACGTCTTCTTGGACTGGTCGCGTTAAATAAGCCCCTGCGAAGAGACATCAACTTGAAGGCTATTCACCTCGGGCAGATTCATAGCCCTTGAAGATTTTGAGGGACAAGCTCCACGATATATCCATCCTAGCAGTACAGTTGATCATCAGCAGCTGTATCTAATGTACTTTGTATATGGCGAACTTGTATTCTCAAAATGCGAACAATGGGGGCTTACCGGGTCCTTGACAAATGCAATCTGCTCGAAGACGTTCTTGTAGGCTGAGGTGAGATCTCCCAGCCCGATGCCACGTCCAACTTCCCATGAACTCAACGGGACATCTTCTCGAGTTGCGCTGCCCAAGTCCTTCATGACTTCCACGCCATGAGCCTTCAGGCGCTCAAGTGCGAGTGGCACATCCGGGACAGAAAACCCCAGATGCCCAAGGCCCAGATTCGGTGGCTGGTTTCCGTTGCTGTAGTACCCGTCAGGCTCACTCTCCGAGCCATGGACATGGTACAACTCGAAGAGCCCCAAAGTGTGTGGAAGCCTGGCTACCGTGTCCTCGCGAAACTTTGCAAGGTCGGCGCGGTGCTCGGTTGTTTGCGGGTACCCGAGATAGTAAATGGTGAATGGGCCGGTATTCATGGTGAATACGGTTCGCATGCCCATTAAGTCGATGTAGAAGTGCAACGAACGCGCAGGATCTCTGATGCGAAGCATCATGTGGTTGAACTTGTATCCGATTGTTGGGTCGCCGGGTGAGATCGCCGCCTCGTCACCCACGATATGTGGCCCGTGAGCTTCATCGGGAACAGACTTTGACGTAGATGGCGGGGTCGACTGAGACATGGTGAAGGCTGTATGTGTCGAATCTGGGTGATCTTCTGAGAACCGAATGGTTCGTGTCGTTGGATGCTGGAAGAAAATAGATGGACGCTGAGGTAGGTGAAGTTTCTTTCAGAGCCAGCTGCTGGAGGGGGAAGCAACGGTCTGTTTCCGAAGGCACGGATCTGTCCGCGAGTGCACGTCTATGCTCTCTAATGTTCTTAGGCGATTGGGCAACGAAGCGCGAGTAGGGCAGGAGACGCAGAGGGAAGTGAGGGCACGAAGGAGGGCACCAGTGTAGGATAGGGAGTACCTTATGCCAACAGCAGCAGCAGCAGCAGCATCCTTTTCGCTCCGGTAGTTTCGCTCGAGATGCCGGCTTCAGCATCCACGGCATCTCATGTTGTAAACTTCGTCGGCAGAGTATCCCACTGATTGCGTCACATTACTCCATCTCGTCTATTTCATACCCGTTTCTACCCTCTTCGTGGACTTGAGCAGCCGGTGAGATACGCAGGGCTCCGTTATTTTACGTCCAGTCTATTACAAATCAAGTATTCAATATGACGTATGAACACGGATTACAAAGCTGAAGTTACAAATCAGCGGCAATCTCTTCTCTACTTGCCTACTTACACAAACGTTCTTGGGTATTGGTTGAGCAGTGCTAACCAACATTCTTCCCTCGAACTGCCATCCCCGTCAGGGTTGACTGCAGAGTCATGGCCTATCATCGCTCTTTCAATCTCATAGGTATGCATTTGCATTTGGACCCCTGTCAACGCCGGTCATTTACGAGTTTCGAAATACGGTTTAGTCTAAGGCTTCGACGTTTATGAAATGGATGAAATGGGCCAGAGGTCTTTGGTGCATCGGACTTTCCAGGATGATTGCATTTATTTCTACCGAATAGGAACCTTATAATTGCTGTGAATTAGCTGCATCGTAAGATGCACCTCACTGATCCATGGCCACGAAAAGCATGCAGCTCAAACCGTTGATTGCTGCATTTGGAACTTCTGTCCACCCATGCAGCCTATAAACATCAACGTTGTAACTCAGGATATCACGGCAACAGCAGTGTAAGCGCTAAGGCAGCAGTCGGCATACACGACTTTCTTATCGAAGACAGAACTTTCTAAATTGTCTGGAGCTCCTCGCAGCATAATAAGTGATTCCTCGCCATGCTCGTTAATGGGCTATCCGTCCGACGAATATCTTAGCATTCTGCAAATTTCACACACTCCCAACATCGATTAGAAGCCGCAACAAAGGCCAAGTCATAATGATTACCGATGGCCTCACCAACGCCTTCAAGACGGAGCGCTTGCTCATCCGCGCCTTCGACAGTAGCGAGCCACAGATTAAGTTCATCTACGAACACATCGAGGCTGATCCAGTCCTCTCCGCCCTCGCGCAGCCATGGATGCTCAGACCCCAAACCCAAAAGCATGCTGAGGGGGTTGCGGAGGGCCTGACCAAGGCCGTCCTCAGTGTCGCACTCTACCTCCCCGCCTCGGAACCGGGTGCCGAAAGCAAGAATAAGCCTGACGGTAAAATCGACAGCAGAAAGAAGAATGGAGATGAGCCCGTGCCAATTGGGATCTTGATTGTTGGATGGGAAGGCGCTCCGCAATGGGACCAGGCCCATCATCGATCTACGACGATTGGGATTAGTCTTGCTGCAGAGTACCAGAATCAGGGCTACGGCAGGGAGGCGATCAACTGGGCTCTGGACTGGGCATTTCGGTTTGGGGCATTTCACAGTGTTCGTATCGCAACATCATCTTTCAACGAGCGGGCGCAGAGTCTGTATCTGAAGCTAGGGTTTGTTGAAGAGGGGCGCGATCGAGAGGCATTTTGGTTCGACCGCAAGTAGTATGATGTGATTCGTTACAGTATGTTGGAGCATGAGTGGGAAGCGCTGCGAGGATTGAAGGAATAAAGCCAGTGTCTGACCAGGACAAATATCATACTTGAGATTACAATTAGACACACTATTCAGAGCACTCCATAACACTTGTTCCTGTTTTCCGGCTATGGTGGTTTCTAAAGCTTGCTGACCCGGCTGATGTCATTGATTCTCAAAGTGAAATTGCCGGGAAAATTTGATATTGACATGCAAAGAGGGGAACAAAATTCAACTGGGCGCCATGATGCCCGAGCCAACGGTCAATGCTCGTCACCAGGTTCGCAACATCCTCACTGCCCATCTGCGCACGTGTCGGCCAGCCCCCTCCCCGGCCCGAACCCACGGCTGCAAGTCAAACCTACAGCATGTGGCTCTAAGCGCGTCATCCATGACCTCAACCACGCAGACGACCAATGGCGTGACCACATTCTGGCCGGAAGTCTAAATAAGCCTTGAGCGGGAGCCGGCTTGGCGCTTCTAGAAGTTCTCTATGCGGTACTGGCACCGTTCATCCCATCATCTGCGCATTTGACGTTTAACGTGCGGCCCGCCGGTTGACTTGGACGAGCTAGCACCTACAAGAAGCACATTCCCTGCGCAGTGGCTTGCCGACTGCTAAGTTTGCTTTACCGCCGCCGGCGATTAAAACCTTTTCAATCCAGCCTATGAGTGAAATTCCAACGGCAGGGAAAGAGTTTGCTACCGCGATTTTGGGTCTGCCAAGAAAAGGCACGCAGCGACACCATCGCGGAACGCATGCCATCCGAAATCTAAAGATTCGGGTGGACTGTACACATAAAGGACCATGAAGCCAGCTTCAATCCTTCAAAGCTCTGACCATTTGGTACCATAATTTATTCACATACTTGGACAGCGTCTTCATTTATTCCAGCCAGATCATATTAATCACACTAATCATAATGCTGCCCTCCAACATCTTCAACCTCGCCACCGCCGGCTTGTTGTCCTCGCTTGCGGCCGTCGCCAATGCGGTTCCTACCCACAAAGATGCCGGCCCACTGGTTCCAAATGCCGAGCTCCTCTTCCAGCTGAAGATGACCCTGGGCCAATCCGTCAACTTTGGTGTGGGCCCACGAGGCAACAGATTCTCTGATCCTATTACTGGAGGAAGCTTTGAAGGGCCGAAGCTCACTGGTAAGTATTTTACCACTTTTGTGGATTAGAATCGGCTAACAAGGTCATCAACAGGGGTTGTACTCCCTGTCGGTGCCGACTGGGGCCTTCTCGACGCCCGTGGCCAATTCGAGGCAATCACGCTGTTTCAGTTTCAAACGAACGACGGCGCCAACATTTTCGTTCGCGCTGAGGGACCTGCGCCGAACGGCAAAGGTATCTTGTACCTGACGCTTGAGACCGGTGTAGATGCGTACTACTGGGTCAATCAACTGATGATCGTCGGAGTGACGAACGTCGAGAGGGACCAGGGTTTCGTCACCATCGACGCTTGGGTGTTGTCGCGTGCCGACGCGGACTAGAAGTTTTTACACATACGGTTCTCTGTTTTTCTCTTGGGCTGCTGGGTGGCCCGGAATGTCATTAGCTGTATTTTGTTTCTCTGTGTTTTGCGATAGATGTAGAAAGTACCATTAGTTATAGTGTTTAATTTGCCAGCAGCTGGTCATTCTGCCTGGACGTTACTGATCTTGGTTTGTCCTGGTTGTGACTGCATGTAGGCATGATATCACCGAAATTCCTGTCTTGCTGCATAAAAAGCGATATGTGTCTAGCGATTAGCCTTCCTTGTATTCGAATTATATGTGATGCTACTGCATGCTGCTGCATGATGTGGATGCCAACCGATCGATGGGGACGAAAATAAGGTAGAAAATAAGCTATTCAGGGGGGGAACAATATGCAAGATCTTAGCTCCGTAGTCCACAATCAGTCCACAGTGCCGAACACTGTCGCAGCGTCGGCGGGGAACTTCTGGGCTTGATGTGGGGGTAGTGGCCGATGTCGGCAGGCTTCTGAATAGCTTCATTTAGAATGCTTCTCCTATGAATGATGTGAACGGCGATCGACGGCATATGAATTTTCGGACTATGACAGTTTCCTTGAGTGTCCTCCGATTACGTCCAATGTTGCGGCTTGAAGGATGTTTGGGTTGAAGGGAATGATTTCGGAATGATTTTGAAGATAGAGGAGCCCCTGTAGCCAATGCTTGGGCAACTATCGGAAGACGAATTCCGCTTGAATCTAGAACTTTAAGAAGCAAAGAGAAGCGAAAACATGAGGATGATATCCCGCATTCTGGACGGCCATTGAGTTCACGATTCACCTGGATTATGTACGGCAAGCATAGTTAGGAGGGTCTCCATTTTGTTAAGGGTTTGGCTGGCGGCAAGCATAAGCTGAGTTTAATGAAATTAACTCGGCATAAATTTCGAGGTTTGTTTGCGATGCCCAGCGTATCACAACGTCATTTGACAAACACCAACATGGCTATTCAGCCCTTGGTATCTGTACCTCAACAAACTTGAATTGAAATGTGAGTAAGAGCCATTCAAAAAACCCCTACAATGAGATTACCTCGCGCAAGCAGCTCGGTCTCACTGAGAGTGAGAGTGAAGAGCCATAGTGACGGAACAATGTGGTGAACGATCACCTCCCAAGCGAAGAAGAGCCACGTAAATCTTAAGTCCAAGCTCCTACCGGCCGATACTTGTCATGCCAAGAGCCCAGAATAAGCACTACGTATTGGCAACTGGGCTCGACCACCCTTGCCGACAAGGTATCGGCTTGCAGGCAGAAGGATTGCTGGTTGAAAATAGGAATTTCCAGTCAGGGGTTGCGGCACAGCAAGTTTGCTCTCCCGATTGCCGTCACATTAAAGAATCCATTCCGAGTCTAAAATGACGAGCTCCCCAGGAAACTGAAGCTTTGCAAGACTCGGTCTCGACGTAATCCAATAAGAACGCCACGAGATGTTTGACAAGTATCGTCGAAAGTCCGGCGTTGGAGCCCTGTCAAGTCCCCCGTCGCTGGACCATGAATCACGTCCCCCTCGCCACAATGCAAGCCAAAGTCTCGAAGAGCCACTCGTCAGGAACTTCTCGATGAGCGGCGGTGAAGCGCAAACCGAAAACGAACAAGACCTCACACCCAAGGGAGCCCATCCCGTCTGCGTCACCAACGACGACCCCAAAAGCAAAACTCCGCGAGTCTCGACCTTATTCCAAGACTTCTCAATCCGCAACGAGCCCAAACCTCCACACAACCCAAACCAAACCACACAGCCAGTCTTCAAGCCATGGGCCCCAGACATCGCCCTCCTCCTCACAGCCGCCTGCCTCCTCGCAGCCATCTTCGCCACCACCCTCTCGCAGGACGGCAAGCCCCAGCGCGACTGGACGCTGCCCATTACCCTTAACGCCCTTGCTAACGTCCTCTCGACGCTCTTTCGCGCGTGCGTCGGCGCTGTCGGCGCGGAGGTGATTCGCCAGGCGCGATGGACGTGGTTCTGGTCTGAGGAGCGGCGGATGATTGATCTGCAACACTTCGACAGTGGGAGCAGGGACTTGCTTGGCGCGCTGAGGCTGGGCGGAGTGGTTAAATGGAAGAGCCCGGCGACGGTGATGGCCGTCTTTGCGGTTGTGGCGTCGTTTGCAGTTGGACCGTGTGTGCAGCAGGCTATCGGGACGGTTGAGAGGGCTGTGGTTGATCCTGGGGACGTTGCGAGTATTCTGACGGCGCGGAGTGTTCATCTTGATTCATACTTCTTTGAGGCGATTTACCGCGATGAGGAGGATGGCCAGAAGGCGGCTGAGACGATTATGCGGCCTGGGATGAGGATTGCGCTGCAGACGGCTATACAGAATCCTCGCGGTGTGGAATCTGCAGTTTCGCCTACGTGTCCGACTGGGAATTGTACTTTCATGGGGCTCGAGTCTGGTGCGCCGGTGCTTGAGCTCGGTGAGATTACACATGCGTCTACTGGTCTTTGTTCTATCTGTACGGATGTCACATCCCTCATCAGCGTCGCCGAGAACAACAGCTCGATAGCGTTGCCGAACGGGATGAACTTCTCCACGGGCCGAACGGCGACGGGCATGGCGTTTGGCTCGGGAGATCTATCTTGGGCTAACAGCGTCATGTCTGAGCGAGCTGTATCTCTGGCGAAGCAGGGTTTGGCCAACGTCACAGTCCTCACCACGCAGAGCCCCATCGCCGATAGATACGGCGCCGCTTTCGTCCATACCCGCATGGCACTCTCCTGCTCTTTGTACCTCTGCCTACGGAGTTACTCGGGAGTGGTCCAGAAAACCCAGCTCAGAGAGAAGCTCGTTTCCGAGGTTTCAACGTACCATGACCCGATGTACGACGGCATCGAGCACCAGTGGGTCAAGAACGGAAGCTATCTCGCCTCCCGCACGCCCTGCGTAATGAACGGACGAAACTACACGGCCGAAGCCGAGGCCGGCAGCCTCAACATCACCACGTTCTGGGCGCCCGACGCCGCAGAGTGCATATACAGCGTCGCCCCGACCTTCGCCGACGGACTGTCGTGGTTTCTCAACGACGCGTTCAACGAGACCTGCACCTTTAGCGCGTTCCAGGACGGGAACCTCTGGTGCAAGAACAACTTCTGGCTCTCTGAGCTATGGTATCGGGGCAACGCGACGGTTGAGCTTGTTTCTGGGCATTTCGCGGATATTGCCACTGCAGTGACGAATCAGCTCCGGCGCGGGTTGGGGAGGCAGGAGGGTTCGATGTCTGGGGTTGAGGGCCAGGCGCTTCAGTACGTTGTGTTTGTGGTTGTTGACAAGGGGTGGCTCGCCTTTCCGGCTGTGCTGCTTGGGCTGGAGGCGGTGTTGCTGGGTGTGATGATTGCAAGGAGTTGGCGGTTGAGAGATGAGGAAGCTGTTTGGAAAAGCAGTATTTTACCTCTGATCTTCTATAGGAGACAGTTTGCGGGGTCTGGGGAAGTCGTTTCTTCTGAGGGGCGGTTGATGACGGCGAAGGAGATCGAGACTGATGCGCGGAACATTTGTGTGAAGTTTTCTCGGGTCCGGACGGGAGATGAGATGAGTCTGCACCGTATTTCGAATGCGAAATAGTCACTTAGAGTGATGATTTGATGTCAAACATTGAAACTATCCTGCTTCCTCTCATTTTACCTCATTCTAGTTGATGGATTTGAGGTGAATCGTGAGTCTTTGTTTCACAAGTGAATGCCCCGCTCATTGAAAATCGGGAATGCTTCTCACCGTCAATGCCTTCTTCACCGCTTCGCAGCCACTCACCTTCCACATTATTCTCACGTGTTGTTGATTGCAACGAGTCAGTCTCATCCCATCGCTGACGTGGCTTATGTAACGAAGGCAGGCATCGGAGGTTTAACGACGGTGAGGCATACCGAAGGCCCCCGCTTTTTCAAATCTCACTCCGATATTGAGTTGCACACGTATCGCAAACCTTCACGATCAGATCTCACCTCACACATCCACTTGTCACTCCCTCGACGCCGAACTCACGTGTAACTCACTCGCTTCATCACCAAGAAAGGCTCAGACCGATTGCAACTTCAGGACCCTCGCCGATCACAAATCACCCAGAAATGTCTCAAAAGCCGAGACTCCTGTGCCTCCACGGCGGGGGCACCTCCGCCCAGATCTTCCAGATCCAGCTCATCAGGCTGCAGCGCATCCTCGACGCCCGCTTCGAGTTCGTGTATATCGACGCGCCCATGGACTCGGCGCCCGGGCCCGGCGTGCTCCCCGTCTTCGAGGGGTGCGGGCCCTACCGGCGCTGGGTCAGCGACGACCCCGCGACGCCCGCGGACGAGTTCCAGGCGCAGAAGGACGCCGCCGTGTCGTTCCTCAAGACGTACATCAAGGAGAACGGCCCCTTTGCCGGGTTCGTCGGGTTCTCGCAGGGCTGCCGCGCCATCTCGAGCCTGCTGCTCGAGCACCAGCGCGGGGAGGATGATTTCTTGGGGCCTGAGGCGAAGCCGTTTGCGCTGTTCATCTGCGGCACGTTCCCGCCGTTCGTGCCGCACGAGGAGAAGATCACGGCGCCGACGGTGCACGTGGTCGGGCTGGAGGACCCGTACGAGCCGGCGAGCGAGCAGCTGTACGAGCAGTGTTCGGAGAAGAGCACGCGGAGGATTTTGAGGTTTCCGGGGGGCCATCACCTGCCGACTGCGCCGGAGACGATACAGCATGTTGCGAACATGACGTTGAGTGTTTACAAGGAGACGTTGAGGAAGTGAGAGGGGATGGCTGTGTGGGATAGAGTGGGTTGGTTATTGGGCGCTAAAGATAGATAGGGGGAAGCGTGTTTCGATCAACGGCCGGGAATAATAGACATCTTTGGATACAGCAGACGTCCAGGATCATCGAAAGATGGGATGCAATCATGAGTTAGGGGGTCTTTGGTGGTGAGCTTGCACCACAAACCAACCACGAGATTCAAACCGAAAGTGCCAAGAACGTGGAATGGAGTCAATGGCTGGAACTCTGAGTTTGTGTGTAACCTCCCCAACCAACAGCATCTCGCCGGCGACGTCTGTCTTGGCCGTGATGGTGTGAGGAACGGCGCCAGAAGCGTGGCAGCCAAGTTTTTGGCAGAGGCGTTGTGGGGTGCTCCCGAAAGAATGTTAGCGCCAAGGGCGGGTGCTTGTCTCTGATTATTATCGTTCCCAGCAAAAAGAGATGTCGTCCTGATAGAGAGGTACGTATCCCCGGTCGTGCGCTTCAATGCCCCCGCTGTCGGTCGACGTCACCTTCAGCGCAGCAGCAGCAGCTTAAGCTCCGGCCTCCTGAGCGCCCGCGGCAAAACAAGGAAAAACGATGCGACAGCCACCACGACGCGCACGACGCCAACTTCTCCCGGTGCTGTGCTCTCTTCGTCCAGACTTTCCTCCCCAGGTCTGATCTTGGTGTTTCGACGTCTGACGCCGTCAATTGAGCATCCCATTGTGGCTTCTCGCGATCATCGGCTCCGACAGACTCGACGACGGCAATTGCGGACGATACGATCGAACGACGACACCCGAGGAGATAACCACTCGGAGCACTCGTCATGGCTCGGTCTAGCTGGTTTTCCCGCCTGATGGGCTGGGACAAGCACCCCAGACACCATCACGATTTCCACGCCGACTGGATTCGCGACGACCGCAGACGCCGTACGTGTTCATCCCTTCTCCGTCGTCCCATGCTCTCCCACCTCCGATGACTGCCCTCGTGCCACCTCAATTTCCTTCGGAAGATATGGATTGCTAACAATGGGTCTTATCCAGTCCTCCCGCAATACCGAAACGAGAATATCCAGTCCGCGATCCCCGCCGCCGAAGTCACAAAGGTCGCCCTCAAGCTGCGCCATCTGATCGAGCTTGCCGTTCCATGCGAACTCGACGAGGAGGAAATCACAAAGGCACACAGCAAGATCATCACCACCAAGGTCATCAAGGCTGCGAAGGAGGCTGGCGGCTCCCACTACCGTTCCTGCGTCGTGTTTTGTCTTGTCGTCTGCAAGAGATGGTTCAAGCACCAGGCTCTCGTCGAGCTCTGGGACGCCGACATGCACAGGGTTCGAGCTGTTGCCTGCGAAGTGGTGGCCAAGCAGATGTAAGTCCACCATCTATTACGATCGACGGCAGTATACTAATCACGCGATGGCAGCATCGAAACCGAAGACGACTTCGAGTACCTCATGCATTCCGTCCTGCTCCGCCGATACTCCATCATCGTCGACGGCGAAGCAACCCCGCCCGCCAACGTCGTCGAGAAGGCCGTCGACCTTCATGCCGTGAGGGTGATTGGATCTTCGGGATACCAAAAGTGCATCTCCTACCTCTGGAAAGGCTGGCTCGTCCAGGATGAAGACGACCCGGCCGTCTTTATCGACTACAAGGACAAGGACAACACGAGCTTCTTCGTCCACATGGACCCCGACCGCATTCGCGCGCCCATGTATCAGAACGCCACCCAAGTCATCATCTCCTTCGTCTACATCGGTCTCTACACCGCCGTCATCAACTCCGTCAACCCGACTGGTGTCTTTGACACGGCCGAGGTCCTGCTGTACATCTTCACCCTCGGCTTCATCTGCGAAGAGGTGACCAAGTTCTGGAAGGCGGGCTACCACATCCTGGGCTTCTGGAACGCCTTCAACAGCGTCCTCTACAGCTTCATCACCCTGTCCTTCATTCTCCGCATCATTGGCCTCACCCATCAACAGGGTGATGATACGCGCGAGTTCTACAGCAAGATGAGCTACAACTTCTTGGCGTTTAGTGCACCTATGATCTGGTCGCGGCTGCTGCTGTACCTCGACAGCTTCCGCTTCTTCGGCGCCATGCTCGTGGTGCTCAAGGTCATGATGAAGGAGTCAATCATCTTCTTTGCCCTGCTGATCGTGTTGGTTATCGGTTTCCTCCAGGCCTTTATCGGCTTGGATTTTGCTGACGATTGGGTCGCGGATGACATCCTCTTCATCCTGCAGGCTATGGCGAATGCTGTGATGCAGAGCCCCGACTTTGACGGATTCGACAAGTTCTCGCCACCGTTCGGAATCATTCTGTACTACTGCTTTACCTTTATCATCATGGTCAGTGCATCCCTGCGTCTTTTGCTGGCCGCATGCTAACACGTCTCAGGTTGTCTTGCTCAACATCCTCATCGCCCTCTACAACTCGGCGTATGAGGATATCTATGGCAACGCCAACGACGAGTATTTGGCGCTCTTCGCCCAGAAGACTATGCAATTCGTCCGCGCACCCGACGAGAACGTGTACATCCCGCCCTTCAACCTGCTCGAGATGCTGGTCATCTGCCTCTTCTGGTGGATGGAGAAGTCCAAGTTCGAGCGCATGAGCGACGTCATTATGGGTATCATCTATTCGCCCGTGCTGGTCATCGCCGCGTGGCACGAGACGAAGACGGCGGGCGAGATCCGCAGCAACCGGGCCCGCGGCGAGGAGGACGACGACACGATCGAGGAGTGGGAGCAGATGATGGACCAGGTCGACTTTGAGGCCGACGGCTGGAACAAGCTGTGCATCAGCGCCAAGACGAACCTTGAGGCGGACCCGACCATTACCGAGGTGCAGAAGCTGCGCGGCGAGGTCGAGGAGCTGAAGAAGCTGCTGGTCGACATGACGAAGGCCTTGTCTTCCGGTGGAGAGGTCGAGCCCAGCCAGGCGTCGACCCTGATCGATGTTGCCGAGCCAGAGCAGAGCGAAAGCAAGACGAAGAAGAAGAAGAAGGGGAAGAAGAGCAAGAAGGACAAGAAGGCAGGCGGCGAGGGAAATGCGTCGGCATCCTCGAGCTCGAGCGACGAAGAGTGAGGAGAGTTCATCTGATGGGACACGTCGCGTGGTCTATGCGCTCTGTTGTTATCTACTGTGTGTGTAAAATGTTTATGGCCGTCACGTCACGTCACGTCTATCACGAAAGCAATTGCGGTTCTGTTTCTATGGGAGATTTGGATCTCGGGTAATCGGCTGCGAGTCAGGATTCATTGGCGTTGGACCATCAGTCATTGTTTGTCAGATTGGATCTGAGAGCATAGCAAACCATTACCAATACCAGCGAAAATTTGCACAAATTCCCCGACCAGAAAAAGCATCCGTGAGTCCGCAGCCGGAAGCCGCGACTGGGCGCAGTGGTGATTGTCCGTCGACTCCCGTCCGCAAGTCGGCTCCGGGCAGATTGTTTCAGCCGACCCCACGACCGCCAAGGTCACCAGCTTAACCAGTTGGGCAACTCATCTTGGTGAGTTGTCCCGGATGCCGGCTCGGGTCCTACGCGAGGAGGGGCTGTGGTGCAAGTTGCAACAGCTGCGGAGACAGGGTTAACCGAGCTGGGGCTTGGGTGGCCTTTTTCCTCCTGGAATGGTGAAGGGGGCAACCTTATCTTTACATGTTGGAAACGACCTTCTTTTGACCTCCCCAACTGAGACTGGGGCGCGTGGAGAATATTGGGGTTGTTGGCACCATTCAAGATGGGCAGCAGTGATGATAATTCTGTAGAAGCTGACTCTGAGGCGCGAGGGGTCGCGACCATCAGCTAGCCGCCAGCCAGCTACCGACCCCTGGCTAGGCCCCAAAACCTGCATCTCGAGACGTTTTAAAGTTTAGTGGCGTCCAGCGGTTCCCCGGCATTCCCTCTCCACACACGGTGCCCTCTCTTCCCAGGAACACTCGGCACGAAGAGGAAACCTGCCCAAACGGTAGTGTGCTGTCGCCCCTGTTTTGCCTTGGGATGAATGAGTTTTGGTCATCGTTTCTGATGAGATTGGAGGAGATGATTTGTGGCCATGGAGAGTGATGAAGTTGAGTGATTACGGAGGGATTGTTGTGGCTGCTTATGGGGGGGGGATTTGGCCGCAATGCCATTCAAAGCACATACGGATAGTCAGAGTACCCATTCAGCTCCATGTTTACACGGAGACCAATTGGGCCCCCCCTACTTGCCTGCCCCCCCCTGGCGCTTAGCCGGGTTTGATTTTCGAAACATGATCCGAACATTGGCGCGGGACGACGGCACCATGGCCACGGCTGTGTTTGGCCGTCGCGCCCTCACCAGCGAGACACGACTCCAGTCCAGTCCAGTGCATCGCGTGGATGTCGTCGACCTGGTCCCAAACGCCATGGCTGAGGATGTCTCCCTCGCCTTGGTAACGGGAACTTGGTGTGTGTGCAATTAGCTCCCACAGCTTGGACCCATGTCAGCATGGGGTAAGGTAGGTAGCCAAACATGGTGTGGCACCGCATTTAGCTTCGTCCCAACGCTCGGGTAGCATGTGTGTGTGTCTTTGACCCCTCAATTTGGCATCCGTCTGAAGAAACCAAAAAAGCTTGGCCTGCAGGTCGTCGGCGGCATGGCTTAGAGTGGGTTGCTACCACGCAAACCTCGGATGTCAGATCCCCCGGGACCACTCGCTCTATGGAAACAGTCCTTCCCGCGGGGCGAAGTCGACCTCTGTTTTCTTTTGCTGCTGTTGGAGATTGTGTTTCCTTTTTCGGGGCTAGCTGATCATTGCCACGCTAGTTTGCTGAGGGTAGGACAGGACTCGGCTGAGGAGACCGAGACCTCCCTTCCCGTCTTCTCCGGATGGCGCTGTCGTGAGGCCGCCACGCGACTGGCGGCATTCTCGTGCCGAGATTGGGGCTGTCTTATCCGGCTGCGGCAGAGCTACACCTGAACATGGGCTTCTCGAGGAAACGATGTTGCCTGGGGTTTGTGGCTTTCGGGGTAGCGTTAGACGTTACAGGGAGACCGCCACGAGACCTGTCTCGTCTCTTGTTCATGTCAGATGAGTTGTATAAGAAGACTGTCATCTTCCTGTCAAACTCGGACTTGGCAATCCATCATCAGCACAAACATCTTCTCCTTTCCCTCACCTCCAATACCCAAACACCAACATAATACAGAGTTGATCTCTAACACACACATCCAAAATGCACGCACAAACCCTCCTCGCCCTCCTGCCCGCCGTCGCAATGGCCCAGTACGGCTACGGCAGCGACGACGCCACCGATGACTCCTCCTCCTCCTCCATGAGCATGGACATGTCCATGTCCATGACCACAACCGCCTCCGCCGCCGCCGCCTCCTCCTCCTCCTCCGCCTCCGGCACCGTGCACGTCGTCAAAGTCGGCGAGTCCGGCCTCACCTTCTCCCCCAACGACGTCAAGGCCGCCGTCGGCGACACCGTCGAGTTCCACTTCTACCCCAAAGCGCACTCCGTCGCGCAGTCCTCCTTCGACAAGCCCTGCGAGCCGCTCTCCAACGGCACCGCGACCGGCTTCTTCTCGGGCCCCGTGCCCGTCTCCTCGGGCGAGGGCGCCGACGTCTTCTCCGTCAAGGTCGAGGACTCGTCCCCCAAGTGGTTCTACTGCGCCACCGCGCAGCACTGCCAGGGCGGCATGGTCGGCGTCATCAACGCCCCGAGCAGCGGCGGCAAGACCGTGGACGCGTACAAGGAGGCCGCGGCCAAGGCGGCGAAGAACGTGGCCCCCGCGTCGACTGGGGGCGGCAGCTTGGGGCCGGCGGCGACGGGCAGCCCGAGCGGCTCTGGGGGTTCGGGTACCAGTGCGAGCGCGAGCGGGACGTCGGCGGCGTCGGGCACTGCGGCGAGCGGGTCGGCGTCGGCTTCGAGGACCTCGAGCCCGAGCGCGGGTGTTGAGGCGCGCGGGGATGTTAGGTGGGGGCTGCTCAGCTTTGGTATGGCTGTTGCCGGTGTCGTTGGCGGACTTCTCATCTAAGATGGGGTTGTATGGCTTTTTGGGTTTGAGGTTTGGACGGGGCATTTATACCAAGGTGCATCAACAGATTGGGCTTCCTGAAAAGAGGGTCGGTCTGGGTTTAGAGCGATTCATGTGTACAAAGTACCCTACTAGTTAGTCATTGTTTTGCAATATTGATCAAGCTGAGCTTTCAAGATTTTGTGTTTCTAGGTGACCTTAGACGACTTGGAATGAAAGGACGGTCTGGATGAATAGGTAGGATATCCTGGCTGTGTCACAGCCCTCGGCAGGTGTCCTATGATTAAGACCCTTTTTAAGCGCCTGTAATTGACGCTATTTTTGGCGTGTTGTAATCGTCATAGTTGCGTCTTTGAAGTTGTAATTGGGTATGTGGTCAGGCTATGAAGGGTCAATGTGATCAGTTGAAAATGTAGGTACTGCGCGCATAGCAAACCCGAACAAGACACCAGTGGAATTGGCACGTTCCGTGTGGCTCAAGTGACAGCACTTGGTCAAGAGCAAAAGAAGGCCCCACGAACGAATTCCGAGGAGACTGCGCATATGATAACGCCAATTTTTTGACCTCACAGTGTCTCCTACACCCTCTCGCTCGCACAGTATCATCGATACCGATAGCTAATTTGATTCTAAAATCTCACGGAAGTTATCTTGATCTCCACCACTCCCAACTCCGTCCCATGGCACCAACCGTCCTGGTCCTTCCATGCTTCACGGTTTACCACCGGTATCCAACTTCTTGCATTGCCTCCTTCCCTTTCCGCGACCGCTTCACTTCTCGCTGAACCATCTCAGCAACGACCACAGCGTCCAGCTCCGTAGTATCAATCACAAACCCGTCCCGCTTCACCTCATCAAATACGTCAACCTCGTCAAAGTCAAATAGCTTCAACGTGCGGTAGCATCGCAGAACGAATGCATTCTTCAGCACCTTCCTCTGCACCCTTGACTCTGGCCAACACCGAACTGGGTCGGTGATCCGGCGGATGTTCTCAGCCTCGCTGCACATGACCGTGACAGGCAAGAACGGCCGGTTAGCTTTGTACGCGGCCTCGAGGCAGTCCACGGGGTTGTCCGTACGCTCGAGCGAGTCGGTCTGGAAGTCGGTGAGTATGATTGTCTTGTGTCGCATGTGAGGGGCAAGAAGGTTGGAAATCAATGTCCTTTTTCGGTCCATGGCGCCTTCCTTCCAAGCTTGTGAATGGCGGCGGGGAAGGGCCACGTTGTCGATCCGTCGATGGTTTTGAATCAGGATGGCGCGGTCTATTCCAATGAGATGGCGCAGTTCGATGGCGATTTCGCGCTTTCCGGTGCCTGGGAAGCCGTTGATCCAAATGACAGGAGCTGGCGGTGGCTTTGTGTTCTTTTGCTTGGGCTTGGGTACCCTGCTGCTGAAGGGACGAATTGACGGATTTTCACCATCGACAGAAGCTGAGCTGACTGAGAAGGCAAGACCTGGGGCGGCTGACATTGTGCTATGGACCTTCAGGTCGTGGTGGAAGAATTCTTCAATAGCGAGTGGTTTTCGGGTTTGTTATAGTTGATAAATGAGAAACGTGAACGAAATAAGTTCTTGATAGGCAAATGATCTCTTGGAATTTTGGTGAAGTTGAAGGCTAGTCGAAAATCTTTTCTTTCGAGGCGGCGGGTGGTCTGAAATTTGCTTTTGTACAATAAAACCTGCCTCAATTGATCAATGTTCAACTCGAAGCGTAACGTAAATAAAGGGAAAGGTCAAGAAGTGAGGTCGTAGAAAACAAAGCGATGGATTTTTCTAACTTCAGGCCAAGAACGGAAGGGGCTTCAGGGTTGAACTTGCCGTAAGAAAATCAGACGAGACGGTTGAGATCCACAAGTTATGAAATAGATGAGTGAGTATGTATTCACACGCATACTAGATTACTCGCTTGACGTCATTGCATTTAATCCTGCTCAACCATATCCTTCCGATTCATGAAATATTTGTTCATAATAGTCTCCTCAGCGGCCTTCATATCAACGCCTTGAGCTTTCTTGTCCAGTCTCTTCCGGCTCTCCGACAGTTGCAGTGCAATGTCCTTCCACGTGAGTTGCTTGCCCCCAAGTCCCATCTCCTTCGCGCCATCGATCCCTTTCACGACCGAAATAGGCAACAATTTGCCGGCTTCCTTCCTCACCACTCCGCCCACAATCACAGTCTCGACATCTCTCTCGCTCGAGTGCAAGACGATCGCAGCAACGGGGTCGACTTCCGCGGCTGGAAACATGGATGTGCTGGAGGTGTCGAAGACCACGAGGTCTGCCTTGGCACCGACCTTGATCTGTCCAACCTCGCCAGCCATGCCAATGGCACGAGCGCCTCCGACTGTGCCCACGTTGAATATCTGCTCAGCAGTAGGGCCGACGTGGCGACTCCATTTTCCCTGCTTTCGAAGTTCTTCTTGGCGCTCGGTGCGCGCATATTGCAGCCCCAAACGCATCTGACTGGGCATGTAGCTGCTTCCCCAAGTGTGGCAGTCAACTCCCAAGCTGGAATTTACTTCGAATTCAGGATGAAGAGCGAGCGGCGGCCATCCCATCTGGAGCTCTGTGTTGGGTGTTGCTGAGATCCAGACATCGTTCTTAGTGATCAGTTCCGCATCGCCATCCTTGGGGAAGTTGGCGTGCGAAAGCAGAATATCGGGGCCGAGGAGGCCGTGGTTGTTGAGGAGCTGTGCCACGGATGGACCATTACCGAAGGCGAGACCGGCGGCTGCGTGAGAGGTGATGACTTTAGCCTTTGCGGCTCTGAGTTCCGAGTAAAGCTTCTTCATGGCGTCTCCTGATTGGTAGACATTGTCGACAACAAAACCAATCTGGACTCTTTCGTCGCCGTATGGACCCTGTGATGCCAAGGCTTTCCAATCTTGAAGCACGCTCGGCGAGCTGTAATCATCCTGTACTGTAAACGGGCTCCAACTGGAGACGGTGCGAGGAACGGAATAGCAGTAGACCGTTCGAAGGCCAGAAGCAATCAGGGCTTGAATCATCGTGGGAGCTGTGACAGTCAGCCGATACCTCACGTCAACAGTGCAGATGGAAACCTACGGAATTCGGGACCCATGTTCAGACTTGAGTGGTCCACTACCGTGGTGGTGCCACCGTCAATGGCCTCGAGAGCACCGGCAAGTTCACCCCAGAAGGCGTCCTCAGGCTCATAAAAAGCGCCTGCATAATTACCAGGAGGAAGATACTCGATCAGTGTTTGGTTCACATGGCGTCCCTTCAGCTGAGTCTGCCAGACGTGGTGGTGAGTGCTGATGAAGCCTGGGGAAACAACTTTCCCCTCGCAGTCGACGACCTTGACATCGCCGCCTGCTTGAATATTCTCTTCAATCTTGGCGATCTTGTCTCCTTCGACCAGTAGGTCGGCCCGCTGAGGGGTGACCTTGCCATCATCTGCATGCATAAGAAGCTGACCATTTTTGAGGAGAATCTTCGAAGTAGGAGCCATAGTGTGTACAGCAGACGTAATTTTACAACAGCTTGCTTCAGCAGAATCAATGTTGTCCGGCAGTTCTGATGATCTGATTATGTATTCACCGTCGTTGGAGACCAACCCCTCGCCGCGAAAGTCAAAAGCGACCGGCGCTTACGGTGGCTTAAGTCCATGCCTTCTTGACGCAAAGCTGATTAAGCTTGAATTCAATGAAGTTTAACGCGACCAAGCTATGACCCATGCGGTGGAGTCCTCGCGTCAATCGACACGATCCTTTAAACGCGAGTCCCGAAGTCGAGGTACGGTGACATTTATCCCACTGCTGCCGCCCATTCGGACCGCCCCGGAGGCCGAGAATGCGGGGTAAAGTGGGCACCGAGAAGTGCGACACCTCCGGCCGGACGGCGATATCGCTTTCGGGCCTCCGGAGTGGCGTTACGACGATAATTGGGGTTTTCCTTCGGCATCTGAGACATGAGTCTACCTACAATCGAGAATCAAGACCGTAGGCCTTGTAACATATGCAAGTTCATTGAATGACTGAGGTAGCTCTAAGGCGATGCAGTCGGGTGTAATAATTAGATCCGAACTTTCAGGCAGCCAGAAGAGTGGTGTTCTGACTGGATTCATCATATTTCTCTGGCGTTGACCATTAGATCGTGGCCTTGCAAGTAAATAACTCCATGCTATATTCTGTCCAAATTTCCGATGAAAATCCTAAGCATTAGGAGCTAGGTCTCATCAGGCACAACTGCTTACTTGAAAGATGGGGAGGAAGTGTCTTCGAAAGGGAATGACTTAATGCATATCTCACGTCATGATCGCATATTACTGAGCGTGTATTTGGCATATATATCAGGTAAGGAGGGTGGAAGTATTGTCAGTATTGGAGCGGCAAGGCAAGATCAAGAGAAACCATCGAAATTCAATTTGTCAAAATTCGTCAACATTTTGTAAAAGATCATACGCAGGCTTTGGGAGATCAATGAATGTACAATTGAATGAACCGGCGTTTAAACAAAACGGCGAATGATGTGTTCTAAATACAGGTCGTGTGATACAAAATATTAAGAATTGAATTCATATGTGCAGTCTGGTATCTCTTCTAACGTGCCCTTGAATAAGGTGTATGAAATTCAAAGGGCTTGGGGTCTAGGCTTTACCTATTACTAATACAAATGGTGAACATTAACAAGAATTAGAAACTAGGGAAGTTCTGTTGCTCTGTTGTTGCGAATCAATGCAAGCGCTGCAAGTGCTGGGTTCAGACATTACTGCTGTGGTCCACGTGTTTCAGGTGCGTCGTTCTGTTTTGCAAAAGAATCTCGCCAAAAGGGAATGGCGAAGGAATTATGCCAGCTTGAAGCCGGTTCTGCGGAGGTTCTGGAACACGCCTTCGGGGTCGTATTGCTCAGCAACCTCGCTCATGAAGTCGAAGTTCTTGTATCCGTGGGTGGCGAGAGGGTCTTGGTCACCCCAGGCGTAGTTTGTGTACTTCCAGTCCTTGTAGAGACCGAGATCCTTGGCGTAGTTGTCGATCTCCATGCGGAACTTGAGGATGTATGGAAGGAGGATTTCCTGGTTGGCCTCGGTGTCGACAGTCAGGGCGATGAGCCACATGAGAGTGGGGCCGTCGGCGACGACATCCTCGAGGCCGAGAACGTTGCCACCAGACTGGGCGCTGTGCTGGACGATTGACTGGGTGACGGGCTGGAACTGGATGAGAGTATTAAAGTCGGAGTCGGGGGCGGCGGCCTTCATCTTAGGCGAGTACTCCTTCAGCTTATCGTCGATAAACTTGAGCATGCGGATATCGTGAGTGGTCTGACCGACGAACCAGTTGGCGCTGGGATTCAGTTAGTTGTGTCTACTGAAATAGGCGATTGTTTCACATACTAGAGACCAAGTGGTGTAGGGCCGGTGAATTGGGGGACTAGATCAGAAACGGCACCAACGGAAGCAGTGGTAGAGATGTTGGGAATAGCGAAGTATTCGCTGAAGGCAGGGGCCTCGGGGTCGGCATCGACATTGCTGAGAATGGAGCGGAGGGTGTAGCCAGTCTTGTCGTAGTACAGCGCAACGATGTTTTGGCTGGCAAGATCCTCGCCCATGTGGTTCGCGAAGTTCATGTAGGCGTTGAAAACAGCATCTCTCTTGGTCTGGTTGTAGGTGAAGAATCCACCCCACATCTGGGTCGACTCAACAACACCTGAAAAAATGTCAAAATTTGTGTCCAGGCAGTTGAAATTCAAAGACTGGAGGACTTACGTTGGTCAATCCTGGTAACGAAGCCGAAGTTACCAGAGCCTCCCTTCTGGGCCTTCCACAGATCGGCGTTCTCGTGCTCATTGGCGTTGACAATGGTACCGTCAGCCAACACAATCTCAAAGTTGGTGACCTGGTCACACGAAAAGCCGCGAGAGTTAGTGTGGAAAGAGTACTAGAAATAGTGACGTCAGCGATGGGTCTGCCAAGTAATGCTGCTCGTCTACTTACACCACCGCCCGTGACGAAGCCACCAACGCCGACGACTGATGCTCTGCCCCCAACGGTAGTAACACCGTAGGGGTCAAGAGCCTTGTAGACCTCACCCCAATTGGATCCGGGGCATATTGAGGCTACCTTGCTGTCTGCGTCGTACGTCGTGGCGTTCATGTAGCCGAAATCGATCGTGACACCGCTCTTGACGCCGTTGGAGCCCTTCCAGGCAGAGTGTGCGCCGCTGCGGATACCGAAGGGGCACTCATGTTTTGAGATGATCTTGGCAATCGCTGAGACATCTTGAGTGCCCTCAGGAAGAACCATACACCAGGCCTCCTGCGCCGCGTTGGCAGAGTAATAAGACTTCAAGCGTGCGTCGTAAACAGCACTGTCTTTGCCAAACACCTTGCCTCTGAGGCTATCATCTGAAGCCAGGGCAGTACACTGAACTCCAAGTTAGCAATGATCATCGCTTGGCAATGGGGAGTCTGCAACGTACACATGAGCATTCGGGGCCACGACTCTTCGCAGACAACGCTGAGCTAGCCAATGCCAGGAGGACCAAGCCTGATGTTGAGAACTTCATGACTGCAGAGTTTGCGCACGACCTCCCGCAGTTCCACGACGATCTCTCTTGAAGAAGTGAGAGTTTGGGAAAGGGCCACAAATGAGAGGGCGATACCTGGCTACACACGTGCTGTCTGTCCGGGGGTAGTCAAATCAAAGCGAGAAAAAGAACGGAAAAGCAAAAGGAAGAATGAGGAAGAATCGCCTTGGATGATATCTGTGCTGTTACATTCCATTTCTGCAGGCAAATCTTGAGGTCCGTGTATCCGCACTTTTAAGTAGCCTAGGGGGCCGGATCAGCATAAGGCGATCTAATTTCCATCGGGGGAGACTAAGTGGGAATCACCATTCGCCCACAAGCCGGAGACGGGGCTGAGCGGACGAGAATGCGCATTTGGAAGGTGGACGGGCCGAGGGAATTATATCTTGAGAGGTCTGCATTAGTTACGAAGGGATGCGATGTCTTCGGAACTAAACATAGTTTCTACCGCGGTGATTGTTTTCCCTCTTGAAGTTGTTTTCCCGTCAACAAACAAAACTCTATTCGAGGACGATGTGAACTTTGACGTTGCAACCGGTTGTCTCCAACGACGGAGTGCAACCCGACATCTATGTTCCTCAACATCCCAGATGAACAATGCCACCCTCTCCAGCAGAGATTATGGGTCTTTCATTACCGAGAGGGTTTAGCATCAACTTCCCTCTCCTATCGGCGTCCTCGGCAAGGTCTGGGGCGGGAAGGGAGGAGATGCGCACTGCAACTTAGTCTGGCGCCATTTTTGTTAGCCGCATGATCCCAGGTGCACTCAATCGTTCATACCGGCGTTGCCTTTCTTCCTCCAGTTAAAATCAAAGACGCCTCCCCGGATCCACCTCCGGCAGCCAACTCCTGAAATGTGAATGTCATTCTGTCAACTTCCCTGACTGTTCGTCCGAGATTTTACCTTCAGCGTCTTCCTTCGCAAGGTTGGGCTGGTTCGAGTTTCAGCACACCGAAGACCCTGCGCAAAAGGAGAGAGAGAACATGATTCGGTCACCGAGCATCATTTCTGCCCAGTCATCTTGTTTTGGGGGCAGGCTTGCACGACACCGCCTGCGGAGGGGTAATAGCCGCCGCCGAGGTCGTTTGAGTCATGTTGAACTTTCTGAGACTTTTCTACACAGCATATCCATGCAGACTGAGGAGATCATCGGGGCTTTGCAGACCGCCCAAAACCGCTCAGAGGAAAGTGATCAGCGCGTAGAAGAAAATTTGTTCAAGAGATCCTTTCTTGCACAAATCACATTCATTGAGTTGATCCCTTCAAGCTGAAGTCTTAAAATATCACGACTGAGGATCACCGCTGGCTTGCATGACGTTGTGAGTTGCCGCCATTAGCTAGCCTATGCCAGGTGGCATTGATCAACGATTGTCCCAAGGTCCTGCAGCCTTAGAAGGCCCGGCATACGAGATGTGCGGTAGGGGTGGACAGACCCTGAATCTTGGCCAGATCGCTCGGCACCAGCGGCAGAGTGAACGCAGTGACCGTGAGATGTCCACCTGCCTATCAATGATGAGCTATTAACATCTTGTGAAGGCCTCTTCGTACGATATCCGACATGGGGCCTTTCCGAGGGTCTTCTCGAAGATGCAACTCTGAGCCAACGTCACATCAGCCAAGACCTTACGAACTTGGGGCTTGGGGACGACGACTCTCGGTCCTTTTGCTAGGGGCTAAAAGTGCTCTCCGTATCCACATCCCCGGCCTCTGCCAACCCGCATGTCGGATGACCGCCATCCCGGCTGGCACCCGACCCCGTTTGGCTGGGGCTCCCAGCTCAGGCTGTAGAAAACCTCAGCCGAACTTTATTGCCAGGTTGGATCAGCTTCTTCAACAGGACGACTTTTGCTGATCAACCAAAAAGCCAAGGCGCCCCTATCGCGGATAACCACGATCATAGCTTAAGATATTGAAGGCGCATAACCGCTACTCTCCGGCGAGCCTAAGCTGCCGCCCCGGCCAAGCTCTTTGCCGGGGTCTTCTTCGGTAATCGTCGAGCGGAGTCCCGTAAAGAGCATTGCTGGCGGCTGAATCGTCGCAACATCTGTGTCCCTGGACCTCTGGAGACCCCGAAAATATCACTCCAGATTTCCATAGTAATAAGATATTCGTAGAACAGTGCACAAGGCGGAGAGTTGATCCCTTTGATTTACTTACAGGAATCACTCGGCATCGCCATGTGGCCTGTTCGTCTTATCCATTCTCAAGTGGGAGCGTGCTCGCAGAACGTAATTTCGCAGAATAGAGATGCGGGCTTTCGGGGATGGACCCTGGTTCTATTCTGGGCCAAGAGACGCGAGATCGCCTGCCCAACGAATTGCTCAAACTCTGTCAGAATTCAGGCTAGACATATAAACAAAACCCAAACCTTTTGCTGGCTTTGGCTCCTCGTCGTCGACGATCGTTTGCTGTGTCGCCAAAGATGTCGAACCACACGCAATTCCCAACGGCTGATATGCCGGCGTCCGTAATTCCTCCTCCGCCGGGGGTGACGGTTGATTTCGACCATCCGCGCCAGCAAAAGGTGCTGGAGCATTACCTCATCTTTGGGATCGGCGGCACAATTGCCTTCATCGCCCTCTGTCAGAGGTTCTACACCAAGATCTTCTTGTCAAAGGGTCTTCAAATCGATGATGGTACGTCTTGGTCTTGACCTTTTGTACTGACGAGCATTGCTGATCTGAGTTTCTCGCAGCTTTCATGTTTCTTGGTTGGGTATGTGATCGTCGGGAGCTCGGGGCTCGCGCTGTTTTCTTCGGCCGAAAGACGATGATCTAACTCACCGTTCACAGGTCGCCTCTGTGGTCACGCAGGCCATGCTAGTTGGTGAGTGTTGCCACAGTCTCAATTTGCTACGATATGATGACTGACATGTATTTCAGCCTCAATAGCTGAAGGAGGCATGTGTGCACACGCTTGGGAAATGCCCCTTTCCCGATTTGTAAAGTACTCCATCGTATGTGCCGACCACCACCAAGAGCCCCGACTGTAGCAAACAAAGCTAACTCGAGGAAGGATGTGTACGTCACTGCGCCAGTGTACATGCTCTGCAACGGCTTCACGAAGCTGTCGCTGCTTACCTTCTATCTTCATTTGTCGCCGCAACGATGGTTCCGAATTTGTGTGTGGATCGGCATCGTCGTTGTGTCCTTGTACTCGGGATGCATCACATTGTTGATGCTGTTCCACTGCAACCCAGTCCGCAAGGCTTTTGACTTCACCATCAATGATGGAAAGTGTTTGGACGTGGCTGTGCTTTACATTGCTACGGCAGTGTCAAATATCGCCACGGATGTAATGTTGTTCATCCTGCCGATGCCAATGATCTTCAATCTGCGCATGAAGATTGCACAAAAGATTGGCGCTATGCTGATATTCGGCATTGGATCTATGTAAGTGCATTTCTTTTACCGCATACATGGACGCAATGCTAATGAATAACAGCACCATCGCAACGTCCATCATCCGCCTTGTCCTTCTGCCCAAGTTGCTGACCAGCACCGACCCGTCGTGGGATGCGGCACCCGCCAACATTTGGACGTAAGACAGGCCTTCTGATTCCAGTCCAGTTTCACCAGAGCTAATTGGGTTTAATAGTTTCATCGAGGGCAACCTTTTCGTCATTTGTGGCTCGATGCCGACGTTGCGAAAGTTCTTCAAGCACTTTGCACCTAAGCTCATGGGAACTTCAACGAACCCATCGTCATACGGTGCGGTATACCACGCGTCTTACGCCAACCAACAATCACACAACACAAAGAGCCGAGCACGATCTCAGTACCAACAATTTTCAGATCAGAACGAGATGCACACATTCCACTCGGATCACAAGCGGGGCATGGACGACGACTCCGCATTCACCTCAATTGTGGTCGCTGGAGGCGGAAGAGAGAGCGCAGACGACATGAGCGACAAGGCGATATTACAGACGAAGACGGTTACGATTCAGCGAGATTAATGGGATGACGATGTGGATGGCCGGGTAATGGTTCGTGTCAATGCATGCGGAATGGAGTTTAGGACGGGGTTCGGTCAAAGCGTCACATCTTGGGGGCTGACATCAAAAAAGAATAATGGAGTAATGGATAACTGTCTAAATTTTAAAGAAGGCATTCTTTCGGCATTGAGCCGCAATTCTTTGCGGGCTGGAATATTTCGCTCTGACTCGGTGATCGGTGAAGCCACTGGCTCATGATTCGTATGTAGCGGGACAATCCAAGGGAACAATCCGGCTGCTAATCTTCCTCTCTCAAGCGCTTCATGCCATGCTCAGCTTCTGCACTCAAGCTCGCCCGGCTGAGATGCGAACTGCAACCGGTGCAATGACATGCTCAGCCGCACATTCAATGGTTAATTGGCCCGCATGAGGTTTTCGTCCCGGGTCGCTCCGCTGTCTCGGGCGATCTTTTGCGATACCGAGCTTATATCCGAGCGACTTCTTGACTGAAAGCATGTTCGAAATGTACGGATAGTCAGCATTGGTTCTTCTTACAATAGTCGAGGAATCAAAGCCAACACCAGTTGCCGTGTTGCCGGATGTGAGCGACATAGAGAGAAAAAAAGGAGGGCGGTGGCCGTAGCTCCAGAGGGCGTATCCGCTCGTCTATTTGAGTTTGATTAGCGCCCGGGCCTAGCTCGTAGAATGAACCTTGTCAACTCACAACTCGCAGTGAGATAACAGCGGCAGTTTTCGCGTGACCTCTGAAACAGGGAAGAACGTTGCGATTCATGGGTCCTTACGGAACAAACCGAGGGGACCCCTCGCAGCTTGGAAGATTCTTCTTCAGCATATAGGCGAGCATTTCCTCACTCTTTCACGCGATTCAATGACCGAGCAGAGCAGAAATCCTTCCAATCTCTCTCTCCTGAATCCATCACGAGAGAAAGGGACGCGTGTCTCTGCCTCTGACGGAAGTTTTCCGCAATCTTGAAGCCGTGATCATTTCATCTTGGGCAGAAAGGATACCCGAGACCCTATGACAGATTTCTGCATGTAAGTACGGATATTTGCGAAGGGTGACGAGGCGGTGTTCATGTGGGCAATAAGTCAGGTCACGTTGTAGCGTGATGTGGGAAGAGATGCTGCATCAGTAATCACGTATGTATTGTGTCAAATATTTACGACAGAAAGGGAATCTCAAGGATTGGACCTCCTATTTCCTAGCCAGCTCACACAATGGTAGAGCTCAGTTTCTTCTCTCATATTTGCCGGTGACCTGAATCTGGGGCGTCTGGAAGATGTCCCAGTTGTCAGATGCCTGGGGGTTACCAAAAGGCTTGAGAGTGGCAAATCGCATGCTGGAGTGACTAGTATTAGCACGGTGCCGAGCCACTTCAACTTTAGAAAGCCACTTACGTGTAGTTCCCAAGCTCAATCTGACTTCCGTTGCCCAACTTGCCGAACCACCAGAACTCGTGGTAAGAAGCCTGTGTCTGAGCGTTGCGGTAGAGATCGACCTCGGGGTAGGTCCAGGTGTCATCGGGATCGTAGACGTCGGGGTCAAAGTAGGAGACGCTGCCGGCCACAACGTGGCTGGTGGCCGGGCCGATGTAGCCATTCTTGCCGGGGACGGGAGGGTATTCCCACTGTCGCTCAGTCCAGCCAGGCTCGTAGATCTACGCACATGAGTCAGTCATAGTGGCAGTCGGACGTCGATCCATGTATTAACTTACGTCCCATCGGACTTCCTTGGTGCCCCAAATCAGCTTGGAGTAGATGATTGGAAAGTCGGCGGCGAATCTGTCCAGATTGAAGGAATATACACTTCATAATGTTAGACATGATTGATATTAAGACGGATATGGGACTGTTCTCACTAGTCACGCTGCGTGGTGAATGGGTAGCTGGGACGGTAAATAGGGCTGATCTCAGATTTCAAGTTGGCGCCAAGTCCTGCAGACGCTGTTAGAACTAACGGTCACAAAGTAAGTTCAACTCATATAGCTTGCTTACCCATGTAAGGCACGGACAATTGCTCTCCATTGTTGCCAGAGACAATGACCTTGCCACTGTAAAGAGGCAAAGCGGACGAGTTCCAACCCAAAGTGTCGGGGTTGGGGAAGTTGACCCTTGCCATATCAGTCGATTGCCGTCAATTACAGCAGTGCTTCTAAACTCACGAGACAGTCTTGCTTTCACCCGGCTTCAGCGTAAAGTCTCTCGGAACCGAGACCTCAACCGGAAGACTGGTAGGAGCCAACTCGGAGAAGCTCTTGATTCTTTTCTCTCCAGCCCAAGGCTCGACGAATGGGTACCATCCGAGCATCTCCACGCCAGCAGCATTTTCGTACGAGAACTTGTAGCTGATATCCTTGTCGCCGTTGTTGATGACGGTAACGTCGTGGTAGCGGCTGAAGAAGTGAGTGTCGTTGAGAGCAATCTTCTCAAAGGTGAGACCGGTAGCGTAGCTGACAACCTTGAAGGCATTTATCAGCCCGTTGCCGACCTGCGCGACGGGTGCGGAGAAGCCATAGTCAGTGGCGGTGCCATCGGACCAGGGGAGAGATGTGCCGCTGGCGATGATGCGCTGGTGCAGCGCCTTGGCGAAGCCCTTGCCTGAGCAAAGGATGTTAGTGCACGCGTTCATCTGTCTCAAGTTGGATCTGGGATGCATTCAGTAACTTACCATGCACAGATCGTCCACCATTCGCACTGATGTAGAGTGCTGCAACGCCGGCCACGTAAGGAGTAGCCATGGAGGTTCCGGATAGTAGAGCGTAGGTGTTGTCCAGGTAGGTGCTGAAGATCTGCGTAATTGTCAGGATCACGCAACGACCAGGAATTATGACAATCGAGTTTCCTTACCTGACCACCGGGAGCTGCAATGTCAGGCTTAATCTGGAGATCATATGTTCCTCCCCATGAGGTGAAGGTGTTCGGTCGACCGCCAGCAGGGTACTCCAGGCCAACTACCTGCTCGGGGTTGATAGAGAAATCAGCCGTAACATTACCACCCGCCTTGACGGTGTCGATGATGGCGGCGCCCGCTTCAGCGGTAGTCAACGCAATGAGTCCGATCTCACCGTCGGTGTACGGGGTGATGAGCGGGCCCTCGTTATTGTAGAAGAGGATGTACTCCGCGCCCAGGGCAACCAGGTTTGCCTGTTTCGTAGCGAAGGTACAAGTGCCGCGGCGTACCAAAGGAATAACGCCCTTCAAGCTACGAGTGCCGCTGGCGTAAGGCTCGCAAGCATCGGCAGGGTCGATAGTGTCAAAGTTCAAAGGAACGACCGGCCAGTCGGTGATGTCAGATGAGAAATAGTATGTGGAAGGAAGGTATCCGGCCTGCAGCTTGTTAGCAGAAGGGCTTTGTGGGTGATACCGGGGACCTGACCTTGACTGTCTCCGTCTTGCCATCAAGAACAGAGGTGAGCTCGAATGGCGAAGCAGGGAATGTCTCTGTCTCGACGGAAGCAACAGCAAGAACATTTTCTCCTGAAGATCCGCTGCTTGCAAAGAATGGCCCGGCAGCGCCAGAGTTGCCGTTGGCGATCGTGACAACGACTCCTTCCTCGACAATGCGAGATGCAACCTCAGCCCAAGCATTGGTTGACCATCCGCTGGGGCCGCCGATACTAGCAGTGATAATATCGACCTGAGGCCTTTGTCAGCACTGTGGCATACGTCAGATCAACTTCGAGCTATTTACTCCATCCGTGTAAGCCCTCAAGAAGGCCTCAATCAGAGTCGCATCATCTGTGGCGTCCTACAAATCGTTAGAACTGCAGCATAGTTCCTTGTTTCAAGGTACCTACGATTTGAGCGAAGACCTTGTAGGAGTACAGAGTAGCCTCGGGTGCAACTCCAGTCCAGCTGCAAGAAGGTTAGTAAAAGAAGATTGGATAGGATGGTTTGTGACAGCCGTACAAATCTGTCTTGCCAGCAATGATACCGCTAACATGGGTTCCTGCACTCATGTCAGACATGTATCACTTTCTAGGATTGAGCATAACGTACCGTGACCCATTTGATCTTCTGGGTCATCATCGGGAGCCTTGTCCTCATAAGGCCAGATGCCGTTGCCAACAAAGTCATAGCCACCAGCGATCTTGAAGCCTTCGCCAAACCCACCACCGAGCTAGATGCAGGTCAGCGCATATGGATCGTCGTCCCCAAAGAAAGCGACACGTACGGCAGGGTGGTTGTACCAAGTGCCAGAGTCGACCACGCCAACCTTGACGCCTTGACCGAAGATGCCCTTATCGTGGAGCTTGCTCACTCCCGTCGCGTTGTGGGTAGTGTAGTTCGAAGCAGCCCCATTCTCGATCGCTTGGAGCCCTTCCACAGGCGACAGGGTTACGCGGGTGTTGTGCCACACGCGCGCGACACCCGCGAGGTTCTGCAAAGTGTCAATGTTGTGCGTGTCCGTCTCGATGCTGGCGCCAGAGAAGATGTCGGCCTCGAAATCTTTGACGATCTTGATGTCTTCTGCGAGGGCGACGTCGCGACGAGCCTTTGCGGAGCCCTGAGATGCGGAGTTAGCAAATGGCCTACTCCAAGGCTTGCGACGGAGTGGCGAACCTGGGTGTATTCGATGATGAAGCTCTTGGCGACCGGGACCGTGGAGTTGCTGGTCTGTCCCTCGGGAGCTTGACGGGCAGAGAGGACATCCGCACTTGCCAGCGCGGGAAGCGCAAGTAAGCTGGCGATGCTAAGGAGATGCATCTTGGTGCAGTTTAACCAAGACCGTGAGTCGCCTGGGGCTTGCGAGTCGAGGTCAAAATGATAATGCCGGTGGGATGGCTATTTAAATTTGTTTGACGGCATCCAAGGTATTGTTTACTACAGAAACATCATTTGAGGTGCAGCTGGGCACTGCAGCGTCGCATTGCCGATACGGGAGCATCCCTTGGAGGTCTATGGTGATATCGCCATCGTGATGGAAATGAGCTTCCTTCTTGGGACGATTTGCACCCCTGCCTTGTGCTGCAAGGTCGGATGAGGAGAAATTGTGAATAATGAGACCACCATCTACGTCGTCTTTGACTGTCTTGGGGCGAGTTCTGATACGTTCCTTGTATTGATAGGGAAATATTCGCCTGGATTGTGTCTCGTATCCAGAAAAACATCGTGAGTCTTCAGTGTCACACAAAGAGCAATTGCATGTCGATCAACTCTCGATGACAGCAATGAGAGCACCTTCCCATGAGTTCAGAGCAGGAATTGGGGGGTAAGAATGGCGTCTGACTGACTTGCGGTTCCTGATGCAACCCAAGAGACGCTGCCAAGACTCTACCCCTGGCTGTTGAGAGCAAGATGCATGGCCAATTCTCGTGTTGGGATGAACGCAACGCGTTGGGCGATAAGGAAGAAGTATGACCCGGTCGGTGAACCAACTTGTCGCCTATGGCGCGAAATGGCATCATCCCCCGTCATGAGACGCGATTACAAGCGCCAGGGGTACTAGAGTACTTGCAGGACCCCTTATCGGTCAACGTCTAGATTGCAGCTCAGGGCCAAATCATAGATAAGTATCCGCGAAGACCTGCAGGTATCTGCATGCTTATTTCACTCATCACCTCGTGTTCAATCTGCACGCGTGATCAAAGCGGATAGCAATATTCAGACGGGGGAGAATTGATATTCAGCCCGCCTAGGCCTCTTTTAGAAGGGGGTTTTAGCTACTACTACCCTTAAAGTTACTACGTTATACTCTAAAGTCTCTTAATAAAGTAGGTATACTTTTAGAGGTATTTATAGGTTTTATTAAGTCTAAATAGTATAAAACATAAATTATTTTTAAAGTAAATAATTATAGATATAAGACTAAATTAGTTAAAATATATTATAAAGTAAAACTTAATATTTTATTACTACTAATTATAATATTATAACTACTAAAAATTATAAATAAATTTATCTTATTATTACTATTAATTTTAAAGTAATTATTAAGTAATTACTAGTAATTACTATTATTATGAGCCTTTCTACTTTAGTTAGTGTTACGACCCGACAGGCATGACACGTTGGAACTGTTAGATTGGCAGTAGTAAAAGGAATAGTGATGTGTATTCGGTTTTTTTTTTTCTCTCTTCCAACTCTTCCATAATAGAAGATCTTCTACTATTTATGTCCAGAGTGAGGGCTTTTTCCTTTATCAATAGAGTTTGGCATAACCATAGAAAACTCTTCTCAACTCCTCTCAAGGTCGCTTAGTGGCGGACACCTTTCA